CCCAAAGCACACAGCAAAGCAGCATCGTAATAAATACATGGAGGTCTGTGGAATTCCCTGAACTGCAAAGGGGGGAAAATAGATGATTAGGGGAACATGTAACAGATTTTGTTTTTATGTCTAACCAGACCTACGATTTGAATATTGAAAAAACAGAAGAAGAAAACAGAGAACATGGGCATAAAGACTAGTTGAATAGTGGCAAATACAGTCCAGCTGTAGCAGAAATCTTTCTAAATCACTGCGCTTATTTCATTTTTACTCCTTTAAGGAGTATCCTATAGAAAGCTTTCTCAATATTTGAATACCATTTTAATGAAATAACATTTACACGAGCCACGGTGGGTCAGCTTTGCTTCTTCTTTGATTGGGCACAGTCAGGATTTTTTACCTTCACCTCCTTGCCCCAGCGAATGGACTGGGCTGCACCCTAGTTTAGATGGTGACCCCCTATTTCTTGCACGTTGGCAGTTGCTATGTCACTGCTTTTTAACCAGTAGCGAGGCTCCCTGTTGTGACTTGTCTGAGCTGTTGCAAATTTGATTAATACCATACGGAGAAATACAGAGGCGTCCTGTTCCATGGGCACGGAATCTTATGCTTAAGCCTGTCCGGGTTGGTGCATTCACGGCTGCGAGGCCGGCCTCCCGCACTCACCTGACGGGGGCCCTGCGGTGGTCGGGGTCCAGGGCCGACACCGAGCCCACGGGCGCGCCCCGCGGGCTGCCCTCGGGGACCTGGAAGGTGTAGCGCGGCTGCAGGAAGGCGGGCGGCTCGTCCTCGTCGGCCACCTGCACCCTGACCAGTGTGGTGGACGCTGGCGTGTGGTGGCCCAGCAGCCGCTTGTCCACGTGGCGGTTTCGCACTTGGGCTCTAAAACGATAGTAGTTCTGATGCTCGAAATCCACTTTCTAAAAGAAACACAGAGCACACGGAAGAAACGGCTTCAGTCACCCAAGGCTTGCTCAGAAAATGAACGATTTAGTTGTTATGTTAGCTCAGTTTCAGTTGTTTTATTTACTTTTTTATTTATTTTAAATATATCTTTATTGATTTCAGAGAGAGGAAGGGAGAGGGAGAGAGAGAGAGAAACATCAATGATGAGAGAGTCATTGATCAAGCCCACAACCCGGGCATGTGCCCCGACCGGGAATCAAACCTCGATCTCCCGGACCCTGGGCCAATGCTCAACTGCTGAGCCACCCTGGCTGGGCAGGTTTTACTTTTTTACCCCCTAGGTTGGTTTGTGTTTTTTTTCTTTTTATTAAATTTACCAGAGTGACATTGGTTAATAAGATTATATAGGTTTCAAGTGTACATTTCTATGATTCACGATCTGCATATTGGTTTTCCTTTTTATCTACTGGATGCCCTGGTATTATCATTAAGGAGTTGCACAGTAATTCTCTATTTTTATTTTGTTATTTCTATCTATTACAAAATGTTTTGGGCCTGCCTGGCATGGCTCTGTGGTTGAGCATCAATCTATGAACCAGGAGGTCACAGTTCGATTCCCAGTCAGGGCACAGGCCCGGGCTGCAGGCTCGATCCCCAGTAGGCGGCGCACAGGAGGCAGCCGATCAATGACTCTCTCTCATCACCGATGTTTCTATCTCTCCCCTCCTCCCTTCTTCTCTCTGAAATCAATTAAAACAAACAAGCAAACAAAAAAAAAAATAAAAAATGTTTTGGGATAATAACTATATTTTTTAAATTAAGGTTAAAGTTATACATATATTGGGTATAAGTGTCTTGTGGAATTAAGAATTAATTTCTTGTTATTTAAGAAGCTTATTTTCAAAAAGTATGCCCTCCATTTGAAATTTTTGAAATTTAAAAAATGTCCTACCTACAATACAAGAAGCTCTGCAATAACTAAACCTCATTTCTAAACTCCTTTTTCCCCTAAATCAAGAATCACAGGTTCTCATTTCAATTAGTTAAAGAAGGACAACTAACTGCCCACACAAAATTATGGTGTGTATTTCCGATTTGATCTTGCATCATCCCGCAAAGCAAACCGTTTTAATCTATCTACCTTCTTTAATATCACTATGCCTTCCTGGGTCTCGTTATCGGTGACTATGCCGAATGTCTGAGACGCGTCGTCTGCAATGCTGTAATCCATTTCTGCGTTCACCCCGATGTCCTTGTCGTGGGCCGTGATGATTCCTATAGAAGCACCAGCGGGTGTAGATTCAGAGACATTCATGCTGTACAAACCTTCAAAAACAAAATCCAAGATACTTGTACAAATAGTTAACATAAGAATCTCACAATGATAGCATCCTTTATTTATGGCCTGGAGGAAACCCCATGCCTGCCCATTCCACCCCTTACCTACCCCGACCCCCCTCTCTACACATACAGGCTTCCTTCTTTTATTTTTACAATCCGGACATTTCCTTAATAAACTATTTGAGCATCTATTATTGGCTCCTAAGTATATCTTAGGAAGTCCTATTACCAATACATATAATTTTCAAATTTCTATTCCTATAAATCCTTCTCAATATTCATGGATTTATTTTTTATTGTACCCTTCAACCACCCCAAATTAAATTTGATAAAAAGAGCTTTTCAATTTCACTCAAGCATCCTGATACCTAAAGTTACCAATAACTGCAAGAATGAATTAAAAAACGAGAGAGACTAAAAGAAAATAGTTGAGTTCCGAGTACGGTAGTTTGATGTGGAGATGTTGAGCCTGGGTTCCCGTAGCCACGGCAGAGGTGAAAAAGAAAGTTGGATCCATAAAATCTGGAAAGTGGGCGTAGCAGAAAAACTGTGTTTAAATGAGATGACCCTACTGCTGCAGCCACAGTGAAATAATGGCAATTATCCTGGAAATGCAGAGATGCTAAATAGAAATAACTGAGCTCTTCTCCTTATTTTTGAGAAGTATTTTGCATAAAGCTGATAAAGAAGTAGCCATTCATGTATTATTATCAGTAATTCATGCTTAAATGTAGGAAATAATCCCATTAGTCAACGCGCACGTGTTTAAGTGAGCCTGGTGTGGGAGGGGAACAGGGACATCGTCTGAAGAACTGGGTACCCTTATGGTATCACGACCATGTCCTCCACACTTACATCTGATCGAAGTTAGTAAGACTCTCCTCGAACCTGAGGATTCTGGGTACCTAAGAGGATTTGAAAACTATTATCTCAGTTTCTTAATAACTGATAAATATTGTTTTTTAAAAAAAAACAAACTAAAAAAGCAGCAAAAGTTTCGAGGACTTTCTGTCTCAAGGAGCTTCTTTGAGAGCACTCTGCCTTCTAGTCTTCAGCTTGCCATTTCCCCTTCATCTGAATAGAATGTAGACTAGATTTATTCAACGAATTCAGCCAGCATTTCTCTACATGTATTATACGCCAATTATTTTATAAAGTTCTCAACATTTCAGACTTAATTAGACATTGTCTTCTTGCCTTCAGGGCATCTTCACGTTGTGGAGAGAGTCACAAATGCTACACAATTCATAACACAGAGATGAAGGTCGCACACCGCTTCCCCACTGCCTACCTGCCACCCAAAGAGGGGCTGTTTTGTTGACTCATAAAGAAAAGATGTAGCTCAAAGGGTACAAGGTTGCAATTATGTAGGATGAATACATTCCAGAAATCTAGAAGTGAGCGCTAGAAATGTAGAGCGTGGTGGCTATAGTTAATGATACTGTATTATCTAATGGAAATTTGCTAAGGAAGTAGATCTCAGGCGCTCTCACCACACACACACACACACACACACACACGCTGTGCAGAGATGGACAAGCTAATTAGTTTGACTGCAGTAATGATTTCACTGTGTATATATCAAGTTTTACACCCCAAATATTTACAATTTCTATTTTTAAAAAAACCACAGTGGCTACATACTTTAAACCAATAAAATTTAAAGTTGGATAATAGCACAGAAATAAAAGTTCAGAATTCTAATATTTCTTGAAAATTCAGAAAATCTGATAACCTAGGGCTGGCACAAATTGTCTACACTGAGTATTGTGTGCGTCACTTAGGAGTGTGTATGTGAGTGTGTGTGGGGTGGGGTGGGGCGTGTTTGTTCTACTTCTTTCTTTGCTCCATGCTTATCAAATTTTCCTTCTACCATGATAATTGCTCATGATTTCTGGAAATGTTTGCAAATATATTTCTGTAGCTAAGAAAGAATCCCCTGAAAAAGAAACTTCTTACAAAATAAATTCCTCCTATGAGTGTCATAAGAAATTCTTTCTGAAGCACACCATGCAATTTAACTTACACTTACTACTTAAATTCTCAGAGCAGGTGTGACCTATTCCTGCTATAAATACATAAATGAATAAATAAAATAAATAAATAAATAAATAAATAAATAAATAAATAAATAAATAAAATATATACAATTTAAATCATTACTGGTAGTAGGCAGAAGAATGACTCCCAAAGTTATTTGTGTCTTCACTGCCAAAGATATGCAATAGGGAATTTAGGTTTCAGATGGAATTAAGGTTGCTAATCAGTGGAACTTGAAATGTGGGCACAGTCTTGGCTTATCCAACTGGGCCCAATGTAATTACATGTGTCCTTAAAAGTGGAAGAAGAAATAAAAGTGTGGGTCAGAGTGATGGCAGTGAGAGAAAAATATGACACCCTGTGCTGCTTCTGAGATGTGTGACTATGTCCATAAACCAGAAAGAGGCATCTAGGAGCTAAGCACGTCCTCCAGGCGGCAGCCTTTAAGGAAACAGAGCCCTTTATCCTGCAAACACCGAATTCTGCCAACTCCCAAATCCAAGGGAATGGGGGGGTCTGCCCTAGAGCCCACAGAGAGGAGGGCAGCCCTGCAGACGGACCTGCACGATCCTACTTGGCCTGCAGGCACCCGTAGCAGACGTCCTTAAGTAATAAATTAGTGTTAAGACATGAAGCTTGTGCTGATTAGTTAAAGAAGCGATTGAAAAATAACACATTGCTCATTCATTTGGATTTGACTTTTCATGCTAATGAAAATAGTCACACCATAGAACAACTGAATTTATATTATATCGTTTTAGTGCTGTAGCCGTGGTTTTAGAATGCAAACTAACATCTGCATATATTCAACATACTTATAACTACATTATAATAAAATTCAAGATGGTTTCCACTTACTTTTTTTAAATGTAGGCTTATTGTCATTCACATCAGAAAGCGTAACTAATACCCGCGTTGTTCCAGACAGTGCCCCGGGCAGACCGATCCTGTCTTTGGCTTGAACAATCACCCAGTACGCATCTACCAGTTCTCTGTCCATTTTAGAAGATGTTCTTATCACTCCTTTAAAATGTGATAAAACTCCAATTATTATTTTATTATTAATCATGGCATCTTCCTAGTTAATTCCAAGGATTCAATCATATTATCACTTTTGACACATTTCGAACTACTACAATGTGCCAGGTGCTGCTCTAGAGAAAAAAACAGTAATGATAGTAAGTTAAACAATGATTCTTCCCAGGCTTTCATGGGCCATCCCAATATTAAGGACACTAGCAGACCTTTAATAAAATCCCATTGAATGATAAACCACAGGTGGAGAAGACTGTATTAATTTTACCTCAATCTACTCTCTGCTGTCTCCTCTAACATAATATTAGTGTGCTACAAGAAACTTCTTTCCTTCACTAAAAACTGTAATATCACCTTTTTTAAAAAAAAATTAAAAAGATAAAACAGATGACATTGTGACAGGGTTTTAATCGTGGGTACAGTATTTCACAATTATAATCTATTATGTGAATCAGTATGAAACCGTCGAATATATTAAATAGATGCTGCTAGAACCTCCCTATATGTGACGCAACAGCAGCTTGTTTGATAGAAGCAAAGGAGAAGAGTATTAGGGCTTCTGACACAGGCTGCGATATGCCCAAAGGTGTAGGGATCAGTCAAGCCGCGAGTGAGGGAACACAGAGGCCTGGCTCCCCACAGGGGCCTCCATGAACTTCGCCTACTTGATTTTCAGCTTTTCTTCTCACCTTCAGACTGAACAAAGGACGGATCTGCCCAGATCCTCCGAACGCGCCGACACTTACAGCTGCATTTTGGCCTTTGGCCCTCACGTATCCTGCTGCTCACCCGCCCCACCTCTCCCCCATCAATGCAATCCATCGCTTTAGCTAACGTGCTCAATATAGATTTTTAAAAAAACAGTGAGCGTTGGGAAAGGAGACAGGGCTTAAATGGTCAAGAAGGTCGAGTATGGCCCAGTCCCTGCCTGTTCTTCAGAGAGCTCGCCGTCCGCTCGGCTCCTCTGTGCTTTTCCGCACCAGGCCCAAGCCTAAGAGCCTCAGCGCCCTCCCAGCTCAGGGACGGCTCCCCGCTCTTCCCGGGACCTGGGGCGCCCTTCCTCTCTCCGCCTTGGCCCCGGCTCAGCTCTGCCTCCTGGTTGCAGGGGACTCTGCCTTGAGCACACAGTAGAAAGTAGCCCTCGCTTTCTTTCTCTCATGGGACCTTGTGTGTTCCTCTTAGGGACAGTCACAAACTGAGCGTGTGTGCATTCACGAGCATCCCCGTGTTTAATATATATCTGTAAGTTCCAAGAGAGGAGTCCTTGTCTTGTTTTGTAGTTTTTGCTATTATTTCTCTAAGGGTGTAATGTTGGAAATCCAGTATGTTGCACAATGCCTGTTAACAGATTCGACCCCTCTCGAACAAGAATGGGTGGGGGAATTAAAACCTAATGTCTTAAGGAATCCATTGCACGTATGGAAATAGCTTTTGGCCCATGCATCCCAAACAATAGAGGCTGGGTACCATCCTTGGCAGAATTAAAAATATAGTCACTCAAGTCATATTTTTCAGAATCGGATTCTCTCAAGAAGCTTGATTGAGAAAGAAAAGCTGAGGCGTTTAATAGCTAGCTGACAGTTGAATGAATCGATAACAAATGCTACAAGTCCAATAAAAGGCTCTAATTCTTTTAAGCTTTTCAGGCCACCAAGATGGAAATGCTAATTTGCCTCTCAATAACAAGCACAGAATTCTCCTTCTTTTGACACTTGCCCTTTTCTTGGTGGTTAGTTACACACTTGCTTGTGTAGTTTTGTTTCTTTGTTTGTTTTCACTTTTAGAGACTAAAAGCTCTTAAAGGCAGGATTTATATGGGCTTAATCTCTGTTTTGGACATCACGACTGATATCTGTCAAATGAATTCGTGTCATAAAATTCTCATGTATTAAATTAACATATTTAAAAGAAGAGAAAAATTGTCCTATTTATTTTATAAAGTATTTAATTGATTAATGGAAATTGGCAAAGCAATTTTAGAACTTTAATTTTTCAATCTAAATAAAAGNTAAAGTATTTAATTGATTAATGGAAATTGGCAAAGCAATTTTAGAACTTTTTCAATCTAAATAAAAAAATACATAAAAATACAGAAATACATTTTTTTGAAAGAGAAGGCCTCCAATCAGCTCCTATATCCAGCTGTCAATTCATGCTTAATGTTAGTTATTCTAATTGGGTTTTCCATGTATCTCATTGTGGGTTTAGTTTGCATTTCCATGATAATTCATGAGGTGAGCATTTTTAATACGCTTGTAGGTTTTTTGTATATCAACTTTTTGTCCATTTCTTGTCAAGTTCTCTCCCTCATATTTTCAATTGGGTTATCTGTCATTTTCTAATTGATTTACAAAAATCCTTACAGATGTCTCATCCCCCGTCTGCAAACCATTTGTGGTCCAGGTGCATAAAGTCCAGCCTTTCAACCTTAGAAAAATCAGCTAAAAGATTAAAAATGATTAAATGTTTAAACTACAACCCCCCTTTTTTTGGATAACAACAGATCTGCAAAACAACATGCTTGTAAACTGAGAACTTTTGCTGTTGCATTTGCCTACTTAGAACCACGTTGAGCTGCACTTGATTTCATTCAGAAATACCTGTTGTTGGCTCAATGGAGAAATACGGTTGGCCACTGATGACACTGTACACGAGGCGAGCGTTATTGTTCGAAGAAGGGTCATCAGCGTCACTTGCTGTCACCTGGAAGACGAATGTTCCTGAAGAGAAAGCAAACAGTTACAAGAAATGAAGACTCTGGTCTTATTTGAACAATCAGTTCGATCCTGTAGCTCCTTCCTTCTTTAGCAAGGACAGTGATGAAAAACAATAAGAGACTAGTCCACCTCCTGGTTCTGAATTTCAAAACTATGTATAACGTCTATACAGACAAGAGAATATAACCTCGCACAAAATGGCTCTAATTCCCACACACAGTGTAGAGTTTTGAACATGATTAAATGTAACCGTTGAACAATCCATTACAATGTGTAATTCAGAATTTTCAAAGGTGTGTTATTAGCAGAGAAATCAGAAAATATTGGAAATACCTTCCTTCAAAAATCATGTTGTGATCAGCACCTCAAAAAAACTGGAGAATGTTGATGGAATATTAATAAAGATTATTCACATGAGCTTCAAATAGTATCAAGTTGAGGACGGGCATAACTATTTTGCCTGCTTAATTCCCTTCTATAAACTCTCTACTTGTGTAAATAACTTTTTTTTTAATTCGAAGCAAAATCTACCAGATATTGATAAGCATGGTCATTAAAATTCAGTCACAATCAATAGAAGTATAAAAAATAAGCACTTGTACATTTAAAAATAATGCAAAAATTAAATTTCTTTAAAAGTATTAAGCTTTTTAATTATCACTGTGGAATCTAGCATTCTGTGTCTTCTTGAAAATTTGCATTTATTGATACATGGTTTTCTGTCAGTAAGAATGGTAACACAAATAGAAGTCAAGAAGCCTATGTGATTTTTTTACAGCTAGCATCATGGTTTTTTTTCACTACAATCAAATTTTATTAACTAAGAAACTCTAATAGAAAGCCCATCTATTCTTCAGTAATAAAATTGTTGAAACTTTACCCTGTCCCTTAATTTTATGTAATGTTTGCTATTTAAACTTAGTATTTTCATTAGTTATTTAACACTTGTTTTATACTGTGCAACTACTCAAAATGTAGACACTTTCACTTCAAGTGTTCTAACAACATATTCCTGCCATTTGTGACAACGTGTGAGAGCACTGAGGTAAGTGAGAGAAGTGAGAGAGAGAAAGACAAATGCTACATATACCATGTGTGGAATCTAAAGGAGCTGAACCCATAAAAACAGAGGGTAGACTGCTGGTTACTAGGGGCTGGGGGTGGGGGGGGATTGGGGAGACATTGATCAAAAGGCACAAACTTGCACTTAAAAGATAAATTCTGGAGAACTAATGCACAACATATTGATTGTCGTCAAATATATTATAAACTTCAAAGTTGCTGAGACACTGCATCCCAAAGGCCTCACTACAAAAAGAAATGATAATTATGTGGTGTGATGGAGATGCTAGCGAATGCTACAGTGGTAATCAGGTCACAACATATAAATGTATCAAATCCACACATCATACACCTTGAACTTTCTCAATGTAATATTAAAATTACATCTTAAGTAATTAATTAATTCTTGCAGTGATTGTGAAGTAATTTCAACAAAAGCCTTCTTAGGAACCATCAATTCAATCAACTGTATTGGGCAAGTTGTTCTTTTAACTACTCTTCTGTGGACTCACCCATTTACTCCCCCCCCTCCTTTTCCCATTTCATTCCTTTCCAGAGGGGTTTTCCACCCCCAGGTTCTAGAAGGAGACTACCTGTCCGTAGCTTCAGGAATAACAGTCAAAATCATGGTATGGTTAGTTGGTGGCCAAAAGAAATTCTCAGTATTAAAGCTTTAGGCTTCCTAACACACTATTATTTTTCACACCCCATGGGAGAAGCTACAAGTAAAAAGTAGATACCGACCAATTTCATTCTAGCTTATTGGAACGCACACTAATAATATTATTTAAAGAAATTAAACATCAGGTAAACATTGGGTGGTAAACACACGATGCAATACACAGATGATGTGTCATAGAATTGTACATGTGAAACCTGTACAATTTTATTAACCAATGTCCCCCCAATAAATTTAATTAAAAATTGTGAAGTAAAAATAAATTAAAAATCAGGGACAAACGTTTCCAGGATTGTGTGCAAGGGAAAGCGACAATACCCCAGAATAGATATGTGTATATTAAATTTCCTCACCCTGAACTCCTACTATTCCATCTTAAGACGGCATCCTGTAATTAGAATTGGGTATTTGATGGCAACTCTTAAAAGTTTAAGTTGTCTAGATCCTTGAAATCGAAAGGAATGCAAACCAGAAGGGCAAATAGCCTCCTCTTGGGGGCGGAGGGTAGACTGGCCAGCGTGCCTTTCTGAGTGGGGTCCGCTTAGCTTGATCCGACATATCGTTTGTAAGTGCAAACAATTGCATTTGCTGCCTAAAGCTTTTCTTAAATCATTTTTTATCTATTCTTTTTAGTGGACAAAAGTTTAACTACAAAAAGTTGCTCTCTAGAATCACACAAATATTCACTAGAATAATCCTGGGCTGTATTATCATATCGATAGCTGATATTGTCTGCCAATATTACCCTTGAGAAACTTTTTCAAAAATGCAAGTTTAAAATGAGTTTTACCTTTCTAGCTAGTTTCTGAATCTTTAGAGCTATTGTTTTTGGAAAAGGACTTTATGAAAATAAATTTAAGATGGCATTTGACTTCGCCTATTTTATCCGGCACACTCTACTGCAAAAACGTATTGTTATGTAGGTCACACAAGATGTAAACTTGTACCAAGCGCCTGGGAGAAAAATCATAGTTTAGTTCTCTCAGAATCTTCATTTGCTGACATACTTTTTCATTTGTTCCTACACAGATAGAAAATGATAGTGATGGTATGTTAATATAAAGTACTTATTATATATGAAGAATTACATATAAATTGTACTTTCTGTGATAATGTTGATATGTGCTGAAACTTATAAAACTACATAACACTTTTTAATATTACAAGCAGCACTGGCAGCATCAATTATATTCCCAATGGTTTAGACCTATTTATCCATCAAGAGCGAAACCTAATGTAAGAACAGAGTAACTCTGTCAATGTTGATTTATATGGATTTTAGTATAAACCAGAAGCATTAGAGGCCTGAATGATTCTCACCCAAATGTTGTTTAATGTTAGTAACAAAATCGTGTTAGATGGGGATGTCTCATATTTCACACAGAACGCTTCATCTTCTGGTGATTATGGGAGGCATCCAAACATAAAAATGGGAAAGAGTAATAAATTTTTATATGCAGACTAGTTTCTATATCACGTAAGCAAGAGAAGTTAGCAACCTGTGGCAAGAACGCTATGTATGTAAAGTTTGCATTGATTACAGAGAACCAAATAAACAGCACACCATGGCTTAATCTAGTGCTTAAATGCCAACTTTTGAACTGCAGGTTTCAAAATGACTCATTTGTTTTTGTATGCAATGTTTTTGTTGTGAATTCAGTGGTAACAATATTAACAGGCTTTTCTTAGAATAAAGATATAAATTGCCTAACAGGAAAGGTATTTTTACTCGCATCTTTAGTACCAGTATACTTTGATTAATCTGGAACAAATTTATTGAGAGGATATCGACTTTTAGAATGGTCAGATCCGAAGTAACACAAATTAAACATTACTATTTTGATGTATAGTCTGAATCTGTGATTTTTGGTAACAACAAGAAGAGATATGATATTAGATAATCTAGTAAAAATATAATTTTCAGAAATCAAATCCATGGTGGAAATAGTGGTTTAATCCTTGCATCTGCTCACTCCTTCACACCGAGAACTCATTTTATTATTAAGAATTATTAGTTATTTACAAGTATTGATTGGCCCATCCTTACTGCATTTATACTTCAAATGCAATTACTTTACAACCTAGAAACTCTAAATGAAACTCAAGAAAGAGATGGCATTTCCCCCTTGTCCAAACATTCATTCATTTAATCATCCCAAACTCAGGTATTATATGACTCTTGTCCTATTACATCTTGTATTTTTGAATGGAAGAAATATAATATTTGCAAATCCAGGATGACAAATGAGAAAGCAGAATGTTTTATCTTAATTCCACTAGGTAGTTCTAGTTTAAAAGTACCGCATTTCAAATGTAAACGTAATCAGTTACAAGCCCATCACTACTAGTAAATATATATTACTTGTAATAAATATTACTTGTTAAATAAGCAATAAGTGGTTTATAGTTTTCTTGGTTTTTAGATTCCTTTTAGTAGTCCACCAAATTCTAAGTTCAAAGTACAGGCTCAAATATAATAATTAGTAAAACCCAAATATATTTAAGAAAGACAAGAGAGAATAAAAAGTTTTCACTGGTTGCTTTGTAAGAAATACAATAGGTGTGCAGGGAGTTTGGAAGCAAGATGAACATTCTAGAACCTGCTAAATGACCATGGATATGGAAAGAAGATGAAGAATTAAAGATATATTCAAGTCAAATAAAGTCCACACTATCCATTAATTAAATATCGAGGTTGAGGGAAACAGCAAAATCACCTATAATCTTATTAACTGGTTCCTTCAGAGCACAGTTAATGGCTGCGAGGCTGTTCCCGAGGGAGCGCATCTACCAACGGTCGCCAGCGCCGCAGAGACGTTCCTCTCTGTCCGCAGCGGGCAGGGCCCTGCCACCCGCCGGCCCCTCCACCCGGGACAGGGCGCCAGTGCTCAGTGCTCTTGGGTGACTCCATCCAAAGCCCGAGCCCTGGCACCGCCACAGGCTGTATGAAAATCCCACAGATGGGCTAGGGTGACATGTACTAGAGCCTCTCGGGGCAGCGGTAAGTAGCCGAATATCCAAACACCGTACAGGCCAAACCCATGCCCTGTGAGCGCCCTGGCATCAGCCAGGCGCCGCCTTGGTGCCCGAGGCAAGTGCTCACTGTACACGCCGGGGCCCCATCCAGGGCTCCCTCTCCAGCTCTGCAAAATGCCTCTCTGTGCCTCCTCTCCTCTCTCGAAAGTTCCACCCCTCTGCTCTCAATCCCTGCCCCGCCTCATGCACCACTGATAACACAGAAACCATCACTTACTACCTGGTTGGTTATCGATCAATGTGTGAACCTACCTGCACCGCCCCCTCTATTATTGCCCTAGATTTCATCACTCTTTCTCTTCTCAAGAATAGTTTTCCAGCAGTCATATCCCTCTTATTTTGCTTCAAAAATACTCTCGTATCATCTCCTATAGTATATAACTATGCTATTAAATGCCCCATCGTAATACATGACTAAACTATGCTTTTTAAAAATCCCTTTACCTCCATATCCCTCTATCTCCTGCCTCCCATCTGTTTTCTCCCCGCAGCACAGCACTGTTAAAGTTGCTAAAGTAACTGTCACCTCCTTTCCTCCTTCCATTCATGCAATAGAATAGTTTCCAACACAGTGTAGTGACACTTAACATGCTTGTCCAAGGAAGTACAAATGTAGAGTTTTCAAATAATTCCAAAGCATATGCTCAAAACCTCAAATCTGTTTTCATTGCCCATCTATGTCTGATGTCAGTTGATATGTAATACCTTCTGGAGCCATCTCAGGAACAGCAGCCTTGTAAGGTTCATGTAGGAATGTCGGTGCATTGTCATTGATGTCCATAACTCTGACGACAAACTCGGACTCAGGTTCCACGGGCTTTCCAGTAGTGATGTCTATTACTTGGGCTTTTAGAAAGTAGCAGGCCTGTTTCTCTCTATCAAGCTTCTGAGTCACATATAAGACACCTGTTGTTGCATTGACAAAAAAAATACTTCCAGCTCCGTCTCCCGAGATCGAGTACTTCAAAGACTTGGACCCATTGTGTAAATCAGATCTCAGCTGCAAGTGCAAAGAGCGATCGTTTAGCTTCCAGACATGTCAAAATGGACAAGTCAGTCATAATGGTTTTATTTTCTTGTCTGTTTATTTTTCCTAAGTTAATAATTCCATACAACTCCCATATGATATAAATAAGTTATAATATTATTTTTTAGAATAATTTTAATTAAATTTATTGGGGTGACAGTGGTTAATATGAACATATAGGTTTCAGGTGTGGGTTTCTCTGTTACAAGGTCTGTACATTGCACTGTGTGCCCACCACCCAAAGTCATATCTTCTCCTGTCACTATATATTAGGACCTTTTACCCCCCACACATTAAATCCTATCTCCAGGCATATTCTACTCAATTCTCAAATATACCTGTTCTTCTTGTGCTCCTATTCTATTTATTTTTTAAAAACAAAGTAAATCTGTTTATCACTCATAGTTTTAATGTCATTTTGAATTTTAGATATAAAAAACAAGGGTTATTATGATATAGGTAACATCTGTTTTATGTTTTTTCATATCTAAATTATTTTTACATAAGCTCCTAATTATTGTGAATCTATGGTTTTCTTGTTTTATTACTTATGAATATGCTTATCTTCAAAGTAAGAGCTTCTCTGAAATTTTACAAAGTGAACTAAGAAACACAATCTTAAATTTATAACTTTCTGATAGCTCAAGGTACAATGTATTTATTCTGGACTAATTAATAAACTTGTCTGAGTGATTGGGGATAATATCTGAAGATATCTAAAACAACTAATTTTAGTAATTTTAATAATGTGTTGAGTATCCCTGTCATGCAATAAAAGAACCAAATTGGTACTTCTAATAAAAAGGTAATGAAAAGTTCTAGCTCTTTTAATTTAACAATTTATTATCATAAAACAAAAAGGAAGTCTCAATGACCTAATAATAATAAATTAAGGAAAACAAATGTCCTCTCAAATAAATATATCATATCGAAGCAAAGCATGTCCCATGGTTTTCAAATATCATTTTGATATAGTTTGAAAATTTGATTAAATATTGGAATGAAAATAAGTCAAATTTAGTAATGAATGCATGCATTTCAAGTGCATTTATACGTAATTTTCATAGATCAGTGAGCTTGATCTTTCTAAGGACCCAGATTTAAGTAAAAAAAAATTTATTTAAAATTTTTTTAATCTGCCTCTTAATGTCACAAGATGCATCAGTTAAACACATTTCAATTTCATGGATTCTAGTATTATAAAATCCTTCTATTCCCATTCAAAAACCATTTTCTCAATGAGGCAGTTTTTATCAATTTGGCAAATCAACATGACTTTAAATTTTTACTTAATTTTGTTTTCCAAACTTAATCGCTTTTAACAAATAGATCGAAAAGAAAGTTACGTTGGACATACCAGCTACATTTTATTTTTACCAGCTATTTAGTTACAAGCACCTAAACATTCATCATTAGACTCTTTTAAACTAGTTATCTGTATGTTATTTAAGCCTAATGAGGTTGTTTAGAGGGAAAACACCATATTTTCATAACTATGTTTACAGAATGCAAAAATAGGCAAAACCAATTGCCATGTGAAAGGGGGGAAAAAAGGAAATTTGTGTAGGGAGCAGAGGAACAAAAACTAGAAAATGTGAGAGCCGGGGAGCAGTCCCTGCTCTGATTGCACCGCTGCATTTCCGTACAGAGCCTCACTCACTAAGTCACCAGCCCCTGTTGGCCTGTCACGCCTTTCAATGAATGGGGAGCGTGATGAGTCCCCGGTAAATGTAGCTGGAGAGGCTCGGTGAAGTAGTAGACACTTAACTACAGGCCTCACCTGTGGCCTCCTGCCTGCGATTTACCTGCGGTCACCTTAGAAAACAAAAAGGGGTGAGAACTGCTACTTGAGGGACACACATGCACGCGCAGTTTGACATCTCTGCCTGCGATCTCCCTGTAAGCCTTTGGTCGCATGTCGCACAGGCATTGAGAAGAGGGGACAGATGAGCTGGGACGGAATCTGGACAGCGGGCTACCCCTGCAGCCCCCCAAAAGGGCTGGAAGAGAGGGTGAATGGCATTGAGCGCTCCGCCCTTTGGGCCCAATTAAATTTCAGTGCCAGTCCATTAGCGGCCACACCGCCTTCCGTTCATTCAGCTAGAGAAGGAGCTTTACAGAGCAGGACATGATATTGTAATTACCTCTGTTTACAGAAAATCAAAGAATAATAAAAGCCAAAAGCATAAATAGGAAATGGTCTTTCCCATTAAGGACATTCCCTTAAAATATATTCTTATAAGAAAGTGAAAATAATTACTTTGTGTTTCGACCTCACTAATCAAATGAAGCACGTAGGCCCTTGAAGCTACTCAACTGCAACAGGAACTGGTATTAACCTGCTCCATTAAAATGAACGAGGTATCTATCAGCACCTACTTAGCATGACAGAAAACCAGGCCAGACACCCCTGGTAACGTTATTGTCCTCAGTGCGGTTGCTTTGAACCATTACCAAAAACACCACCATCCAATTTCCAGGCGTGGGTAACGAGGCTGTGTTCTCACGGGGGAGACTCAAGGGAAACGGGGAACCAGAGCTTTCCCTCCTCCGCAAGCTTTTGTGGGTACTTTAGGTGCTAACCAACCTGAAGCAATTACTTATGCTGGCTCTGGGAGTTTCCTAATGCTTTTACTGAGAAAATTTAGACTTCACCAAATAGCCAAACTCTCCACTCAGTTCTTTAGATTTCTACAAGGTCATTTCCTGTAACATCTCAGAAAATCAGTACCCAGCCGAAGGGCTGCCTGGTCACGTTCAATTCCTCTTCCACAAAGAACGTGTTCCAGGCCCAGTAGCGCTTCTCTCTGCCGCGGGGCCCCTCGGGGGGCATGTCTCCCGTCTCACAGTCTCCTGTCGCTGTGATGCGAGGCCAGAGGACAGTAGTCCCCAACAGAAGGGGGAGAAATAAGCAACGGTTCATTCCGCTCTTTTGATGCCAGCTGCTTGACAGTCTTTAGAAGAAAGAGTTCCGTTGCAAAGGAAAATCTTAGGTTCCTCTATAATCTCTTTAAAATCCAAAGTATCTTTCACATTCCTAGAGAACAAGACACAAAACAAAATTGGCCATGTTAAAAATGTTTTCTCATATAATTGCTCAGGTAAGGATACACTCCCACATTCATAAAAATGGAACAAAAATACACATTTAATTTCTGTTTCAGTTAAACCAGTTAATTATATTCTGTATGCCCGCAATAGCTTGAACAGGAGAGTGGGACACTTCTGCTCAGGCACTGCCAGGCGTAAGCTGTGGTCAAATCAGCCTGAAGGTTGGACACTTGCTCTGGCATCTCCTTGATTGACAGCTGATATTCAGACTTTTTAAAAAAACGTATTGGGGTAACATTGGTCAATAGGATCATATGGTAGATTTCTATGGTACAAAATCTGCATCTGTGCCCACCACCCTAAGTCATATCTTCTCCCGTCACCATATATTAAGATCCCTTCTCCCCCCAACTCCCACCCCCTTCCCTCTGGCAACCATCACATGCTGTTTGTGTCCATGCGTTTCAGTTTATATCCCATGTACAAATGAAATCCTGTGGGTTCTTAGCTTTTTCTGATGGCTTATTTCACTTCGCATAATATTCTCGGGGTCCGCCCATGTTGTTGCAAATGGCAGCGTTTCATCTTTCTAATGGCTGAGTAGTATCCGCCGTGTGCATGTCCCACATCTTCTCTACCCAGCCCTCGATCGCAGGACACGTGGGTTGTCTCCATGCTTTGGCCACTGTGACTAATGCTGCAGTGAACACAGGGGTGCATGTATCTTTGCAAATACATGTTTTTGAGTTTTTGGGTATATATCCAGGAGAAGGATAGCTGGGTCATGTAGTAACTCTATTCTTAATTTTCTTTAGGAATTGCCAGACTGTTTTCCATAGTGGCTGTACCAGCCTACATTCCCCCCAGCAATGAATGAAGGTTCCCTTCTCTCCACAACATCTCCAACACTTGTTATTACTTGTATTGTCAGTAACAGCCATTCTTTTTTTTTTTTTTTTAATCTTCACCTGAGTATATTTTTTCCATTACTTTTCAGAGAGAGTGGAAGGGAGAGAGAGAGAGAGAGAGGCATAGATGAGAGAGACACATGGATTGGTTACCTCCTGCACATGCTCCAACCAGGGCCAGGGATTGAACCTGCAACCAAGGTACATGCCCTTGGCGGGAGTTGGACCTGGGACCCTTCAGTCCTAAGGCCCACCCTCTAACCACTGAGCCAAACTGGATAGGGCGATCTAACAGGTGTGAGGTGGTATCTCATTGTAGTTTTGATTTGCATTTCCCTAATTGCTAGTGAGGTTGAGCATCTTTTCATATATCTGTTGGCCATTTGTATGTCTTATTGGGAGAGGTTCCTGTCTGGGTCCTCTGCCCATTTTTTAGTTGAGTTTTTTGTTTGGTGTTGAGTTTTATGAGTTCTTCATGTATTTTGGAAATTAAAACTTTGTCAGAACTGTTGTTTGCAAATATCATCTCCCATTTGGTCGGCTGCCTTTTTGTTAAGTTGTCAGTTTCTTTTGCTGTGCAGAAGCTTTTAAGTTTGATATAGTCCCATTCATTTATTTTTGCCTTTACCTCCCTTATTTTTGGGGTCAACTTCATAAAATGTTCTCTACAACTAAGGTCCATAGGTTTAATACCTATCTTTTATTCTATGTAATTTATAGTTTCAGGTCTTATATTTAGCTCTTTGATCCATTTTGAATTAATGTTTGTACCTGGTGGAATTTGCAACCAAAATAATAAAATATCTAGGAATATATTTAATAAAGGACATGAACAACCTGTATACTGAAAACTACAAAACATTATTAAAAGAGATTTAAAAAGACACAACAAAATGGACAAACTTCCTGTGTTCATGGGTTGGAAGAATCAACATAGTTAAAATGGCCACATAACCCAAAGCAATATACAGACTTAATATAATCCCCAGCAAAATCTTAATGTCATTTTTTTTAAAGAAATAGAACAAAAAGTCTTCAGATTTTATGGAATCACAAAAGACCTCAAAAGCCAAAGCAATTTTCAGAAAAAAGAATGAAGCTGGAGGCATCACACTGCCTGATGTCAAATTATACTACAGAGCTACCATAATCAAAACAGCATGGTATTGGTAGAAAAACAGACACACAGATCAGTGGAACAGAATTGAGAGCCTAGATATAAAACCACATGTATATGGGCAGATAATTTTCTACCAAGGAGCCAGAAACAAACAATGGAGTAAATAAAGCCCCTTCAATAAATGGTGCTGGGAAAATTGGACAGCGACATGCAAAAGAATGAAACTAGAATTTTTTTAAACATGCTTAGTTTCATTTTATCTCAGTAAAAGCACTATCCCATTAAAGTAACAGGCCAGTGAGGGATACATGTAATATTTCTCCTCTATTTCAATAGAAATATGTTTTCTCATACAATTTTCCAAACATTTTATGTAGTATTAAATAAACAAAATGACAATTTACCTTAAAACCCCAGGGAGTTAATAATAACTTATACTGATTTTATAAAACACTCTGAGAACAGAAAGTGTGTGCAAGATATTTCCCACTTTATACTATTAAAGATAGGAAATGGAATATTTTTTATCTTAACAGAAAAATACTGCAGGTTTTAGAAAATAAATACAAAATTATAGTGCTGGGTAAAAACAGCTGAATTTTTTAATATGTAAGACAAAGATGAAAGGTATCTTCTAGTATATACATATTAAAACAAAACAAAAAAATCCTCAAACTATGGAGTTTTCCATTTAAAACTTTCCATTTACCTGAAACTCATTATACCAGCTCTCTCTGAAATGACATAATTCTCACCCTTCTATGTAATTGAAAAGCTTTCATTTTCCACAGCTACATAGCACCTCCCTCCATATAACCAAACTAGATTTGTTTGTTTGGGACTCGTGAAGAAAAACAATTTGTCACATCTGCAATGGAGTTTAATGTCATCATCAACAACCACAAGAGCAAATGACATAGAGTTCCTATTTCTGTTAGGAGATTTCTAGATGATCTTGTTTTTTGGTCTTCGACTCCGTTAGGAAGAGTATTCATTCAAAAACACCCAATTAAGAAAGAACACATTGTCAAAAATGGGGATGGAGTTCTTCCCACGCAATGTATTTGTTATAAGTTTACTTAATGAAGGTCATGAAGAAATTCAGCAGAAGGGAAAATTAAAGATAAATTTCATCCTTAGATAGAATATTTGGGATTCATGTAATCGCTGTTATTTAGAAATTGTTAAATATGTATATTTAAAAGCTAGTAAATAATGAAAACCTTTGGAACATGTAGTTTCCTTTATGAGAATATATTTTGCATAAGTTTGGAAAATTATCACTAACGGTCACATTAAGTACACTAATAATGTTGGGCAAATAACATTCTCATTAACTTTATATTAAGATATTTTCATACATCTAGAAATAGAGCAAATGGTACAATAAACACCTAGACACTATTATTTAGCTTCAGAATTATCAAGGCTGAACAATCTTATTTCATCTATGTATATACCCGCTTTCTGATATTAAAACCAACTTCAAATGTCATAGCATTTTAATTATTCATTACACAGAGACACGTACACACACAATCGGGCACAAATGCTGTTTATCTGGGTGCGATTATCCTTCTAAAAATCAAAATTAAATGTTAAAAAATGGGAATAAGTCTTTAATATAATCACATATTCAGTTAGTGTTCAAATTAAAATATTTACACATTTTTGATTTAGGGTTCAAGGATGTCCACACAATGCAGCTTGTTAACACCTTCCTTTAGTCTCATTTAGTCCACAGGTTTCATCAGTCTAAATTTAATTTTCCTTTTCACTTATGTGTTGGACAAACAAGGTCATTTATCCTGTAGAGTTTCCCACAATATGACTTAATATGTTTGTTTATTTCCTATAAATTAGTAGAGGCTTGATTAGATGCAATTTTAAATATTTGTCAAAAATACTCCTAGCTGATGCTCAGTACTTCCTTTTGTATGATGTCTGGAGACATAAAATACCTAGTTTTTACACATTTTGTTTTTAGTATTAAAGTTGTTCTTGTTTCAAGATTCATTAGTAGATTCATGTATCATCAGTTGGTTCATTTATTATGAACTTCCTAGTCACCATTTGTTTTAAAGTCTTACTAATTATTGATGATTATTGCTTAAATTGACTATTTCAGTGACCACATGGTGAAACACAACAGAGAGACAGAAACTAAAAAGCACCAAAAGAAACTCCTACACAACTGAAAACATAATATCTGAAATGACAACAAAATTTACAGTATGGTTTTATCAAAAGATGGAACAGTACAGAAGATAATACATTGGCTTTGAAGATTGTTTAATAGAAATTATGCAAACTAAAGTACAGTAGCAAAAATAATTTTAAAAATTAAAAAAAAATTAGTAACTGTGGAACAATCTCAAATTATGTAATCTCAAATTACATAATAAATATGTAATTTGAATCCTAAAAATAAGGGAGAGAGATATTGGGTTAAAAAATAATGAGAATGGCCAATGGTTTCTCAGATTTGCAGAACACTATCACACCACAAAAGACGCTCAACAAACATGAAGCTAACAAATGAATGTTACTGTAAAAATTTTAAAAATAAAATGTAAAGAGAAAATAATAAAACCTCACCAGAAACAGGAAACAGTAAGATTATCCAATAAATGCTCATCAGAAATAAGGTAGGATTGATAGAATGGCATACAAAAAGTTCTGAGAGAAAAACTTTTAACCTATAATTATATAACCTTCAAAACAAAGATAATATAAAGCAAAGTAGAAAAATTAACAGCACCACTGAACTCTAAAAATATTAAGATAAAATCTTCAGAATTAAGGGCATGCGAATCTTTACAATGTAATAAAATAATATGAAAATATAAAATATATAGGTAAATATAAAGAGTTATTTTTGCATTTTATTAATATTTTTTAAATAAGTTCACTATTTAAGCATTAATAATGTGTTGCAAAATAGCTAACATATGTGGGAGTAAAATTCACGATGATAACGGCACAGCCCACCATGTGGAAAATAAAACTCTCTGGGAGTCAACTTCTTACGGGTAAAGTGATGTAACAGTAGTTCAAGGAGACTGCTGTGCATGAAAATGAACTACTGATGCACACCATCACATCTCAAAATAATTATGCTG